CAACACTTGAGGAGCAAATCAAAGTCCCTGTAAAGATTTGGAGTAACCGTCAGGAAGGAAGGTTTGACGCCCTTGGCTCTCCCAGGGGATTTTGTGATTTGCTTGAAGGTGAGGCCAACCTCAAGGGAAAACAGGAAAGCAGCTGCAGGATCTGACAGGTCCTGATTGGAATTGCAGCTGCAGAGGCTTTTTTTTAAAAAAAAAAAAAAAAAATAATTAATGATAATTTCGTGGCAGCAAATTTAGCTAATAGCTAAGAGTCAGCCTTGACGTGCCAGGAGCAGAGCTCAGCTCCGCCGAGTTTTTCTCTTGGGTGTGAAAAGTTCCCTCTGGCTCCAGCCTTGTGGGATTCTATTCCCAAAATCCCGGGATCCTTGAGGCTGGAAAATCCCTGTGGGATCATCGAGCCCGAGCTGTGCCCGATCCCCACCCTGAGCACTCGGTGCCACCTCCAGGTGCCACCTCCAGGGACGGGCACTCCAAACCTCCCTGGGCAGCCCCTGCCAACCCTTTCCATGAGGAAATTCCTGCTGATCCAAAGATCCCAAATCCCCCCCGGCTGTCCCCTCCTCTTAGGGAGTTTTTCAGAGCCAGAAATTCCCTCTGATCTCCCTTTTCTCCAGGATGAGCCCCATCCCCTCAGGATTCTCCAGACCTTTCCCCACCTCCATTCCCTTCCCTGGACGCTATTCCCAGTGTCTGGACAAGTCGAGAAACTCATTTATTTATTTCTTTTAAATTTTGCAGCCCTCCTTCTACTCGGTTATTTTTGTCATTTCCAAGTGCCCTTTGCTCCTGGGAGGAATTCTGTGGGCTTAATGAGCTGCCAGTTAATCAGGAGCAAAATCAGAACCCGGTCTCCTGCAGGGGAATATTTCTTATTTATCTGCCCCTAGCCTGAAGAAACCTTTAGAACAATGATTTACAAGATGAAAAAAAAAAAAAATGGAAAAAAAAAAAAAAACCTAAACCCCTAAAAATGCTCAATTCCCTTTTATCCAAAGCATTCCCGATGCCACAGGATTATCAGTGGGGGTCTGGCACTTGTGTCAGCAGCATCCAGCCAGGAGAGAAATGGATGTGGAGCGTTTATTCCTGCAGGGAAGGCGACAGCTCCGTGCATCCCACAGGGCTCAGGTCAGCACCAGCCTCAATCCCGGGGATAAAGGTGGCTCCAGCCCTTATTCTCCATGAAAATATCAGTGGGAAACTCTCAATTATGGAAAATATATGCAGAATCTTCCCAGCAGGAATCAGCCAAGGATGTTGTGCTTTTTTTCCCTTTTTTTTTTTTTTTTTTTTTTTTTTTTTTTTTTTTTTTTTTTTTTTTTAATGATTCCCGGTCCCTTGCTGTCCCCTCCATCACCCCACGGATGCCAAAATGGGGGAAAAGCAGGGGAGGAAGGAAAAGAGGCGGGTCCAGGTTGGGAACGGATTTCCAGAAGGATATTAATAAATATAAAATGGCTATGGATATATAAAATGATTATTCAGAGGGATAAAATCGTTATCCATAGGGATAACTCCTGTGGTAGGGTGGGAGCTGACGGAGATTTCGGACTCAGGGAAAGATCCGGAAACAGAAACAAAATTGGGGATTTAACAAACACTGGAGCTGTGCTGGGAGGGGTCCGGGTGTAAAATCAGCTCGAAGGGGATCAGGATATTCCAGGGGCTGCTGTGCCGTGGATTCACTCACTCTGGAGCAGTTTGGGGACAAAGCTGGGGGTTTGTCAGCAGGGTTGGACGCTCCAGCCACCACCTGGATGTGGCACCTGGGGACACGGTGGCCTTGGCAGTGCCAGGGAATGGTGGGACTCGATGGTGGCAGAGGTTTTTCCAATGTTAATTCCATGGAACGTCAGCAGCCGCCATCTGTCCCTTGCCAGGGAATTACTCTGTGATATTCCAGATTTTCTCACAATTTTGGGTGTGTGCAGGGCGGTGTGGGGAGCTCTGCTCCCCAATTCCTGCAGTTCTCCCTCACTGGGATTCCCATTTTCCTTTTGCCGCTTCTGACAGAGCCCAGAAATTGCCAGAGTTTCCCATCCGACACCTGGAGCCGAGCAAAACCGTTTTAAATCCTTGGAAATCCCCAACTCTACCTACGACACGCTCAGGGAGGCTGCTCCAGCATTTCCTGCTCCGTGGAATTCCAGCAGAGTGGAATTGACAGGAGCTGTGCACAGATCCCAGTGGAAAAAGCCCTGGGTGGATACGAGGGGATTTAAGGATGTTTGGATTTAGTGGGAATTGTAGGGAGGGAACGGCGGAGTTTTACAAATGTACAAAATTCCCTTGGGACAAAGGAGGGAGCGCCTGGAGCCGGGTGGGAAATGGGGGAAACCACAACGAGGGAGAGGTGGAAACCACACGGATACAAAGCCTGGAAAACTCCACACAAAGTGCCAGAGGAAACATCCCAGGAGAATGGAAATCCTGAGGGATTCTCTTGTGCCAACTGCACATCCCCGCTCCCAATCCTGCATCCCATCAGCGACATCTCATTGTCCCCCAGAGTCCCAACGCCCAAGCAGAGGCTGTGACAACGTGAAGGCGCTCTCCTCCCTTTCCTTCATTCCAAGGAATCCCCATCCAAAGGGATCCCCATTCAAAGGGGTTCCCATCACAAGGAATCCCCATCCAAAGGAATCCCCATCCAAAGGGATCCCCATCCAAAGGGATCTCCACCCTGAGGGATCCCCACCACGAGAGATCCCCACCACAAGAGATCCCCATCCAAAGGAATCCCCATCCAAAGGGATCCCCATCCAAAGGGATTCCCATTACAAGGGATCCCCATCACAAGGAATCCCTATCCTAAAGAATCCCCATCCAAAGAGATCCCCACCACATGGGATCCCCATCCTGAGGGATCCCCATCCCTTCCTGGGATTCTCCTCCTCCATGCAACCCCTGGGTTGAGGAATGCCGAGAGCGGAGGGCGATGGGATGAGGGATTTCCATGCAGCCATGGCCAAAGCACCATGGAATGGCTGGGCCATGCCAAGGACGCGCCAGGGACACTCTGGGACACGCTGGGGACACGCCAGGGACACTCTGGGACACGCTGGGGACACGCCAGGGACGCTCTGGGACACGCGGCCGACGCCTGTCTCACCTGAGCTGGTGGTAAAGGTAATGTACGAGTGCTCGCTGGGGTGGGACCATATGGGGAACACCCACAGCTTGTACATCATCCCCGGCGTCAGATCCGCCAGCTGCACCGAGGACGGGCCCTGAGCCTTAACGGGGATTGATTTCTCTGTCTTGTTACCTGGGGAACAGAAACCGCACATCAAACCCTGCCCCGACACCCCACGGGGACACCGGGGACACTGCGGCCCAGGCAGGGGCTGGCCCGGAATGACACGGGCAGGGAGAGGCTGGTTTGGGGTCGGTACCGAGCCAAGGAGCTGCTGGTTTGGGGTCATTACTCCAGGGACAAAGAGAGTCTGGTTTGGGGTCGGTACTGAGCCAAGGAGCTGCTGGTTTGGGGTCATTGTTCTGGGGACAAGGAGCTGCTGGTTTGGGGTTGGTACCGACCCAAGGAGCTGCTGGTTTGGGGTCATTGTTCTGGGGACAGGAGCCACTGATTTGGGGTCGTGATACTGCAGGCAGGGCACTGTGATATCCCTGGAGATTGAGTGGGAATAATGTGGCTCTGGGGACAAGGAATTGTTGGTTTGGGGTTGGTACCGAGACAAGGAGCTGCTGGTTTGGGATCCTTTCCTGAGCCAAGGTTTGGGATTGGTACTAACCCAAGGAACAGCTGGTTTGGAGTTTGGTACCGAGCCAAGGAACTGCTGGTTTGGGGTCGTGATACTGCAGGCAGGGCACTGTGACATCCCTGGAGATTGAGTGGGAATGATGTGACTCTGGGGACAAGGAATTGCTGGTTTGGGATCATTTCCTGAGCCAAGGAGCTGCTGGTTTGGGGTCACTACCCCGGGGACAAGGAGCTGCTGGGCTCGCTACCCACTGAGAATTGTGGCTTTGAGATTTTGTTCCTTCAAATGCCACCAAAACGGGATGGACAACCACGGCTGTCCAGGAAGGGCTGAAGTTTCCAAGATTTCATCCCTCAGCCAGATCGTGGGGAGGGAATCCCAAGGAATTGATGATGCTGCGTGGATTCAGCACCTGGGATTGTTCCTTGTGCTTCCCACTGACTGGGGAAAAATAGGGGTGGTTTGGGAGCTGGGATATTTGGGATTTGGGGCCTGGAAAGATCATGCATCCTGAAATATGGGAATTTCAGAGACTGGTTTTGCACAGGGAATCGTTTCAAGGACAATTCAAGGTCATTTCCTAAGGGAAGCTGGGATGGCCAGGAGGGGTTTCCTGCTGGGAATTACAATTCCAGGGATTCCAGAGCGACACAGCAGCGGGTGCAAGAGTTGGGAAATAAACTCAGGGATGAGCAGCAGCCGGCACTGCCCTGCAGAAACCCCAAACCAACCAAGAGCACAAAATCCTCTCCCTAAAGCGGCACCAAACCCGGAGATCCCGGCTCCGCTTCCAGCCCAGGACGGAGCCGCACAACGCCGAGAAACACCGAGGAGGAGGTTTGGGGATCTTAGAGGATTCTGCCAACTCCAGGTTCAGGAATCCCAGCTTCCAATTTCATTTCCCCTCTGTGTTTCCCACCTCTTTCCATCGACCACAACTCGACATTCCCAAAGATCATCAAACCCCGGCGCACGGAGAGGGAACCCCCCTGCAGAAACACCCCCCTGATCCACCCCAAGCACCACAGCCACGAGGTTTTTGCCCTCCCATTTTTTTCCCGGCTGGCCGTGGAATCATGGAATTAAATCCAAGGGAAAGGCAGGAGCTGGCAGGATCTCTAAGGGCAGCGCCACCCCGTAGAGTCCCCACGCGATCTGATGCTTACTGGTGATATACTTAACCACAAAGTCAGTTCCTGCCGAGAAATTGTGGCTCCAGGTGATGTTTGCCCAGTTACTGTTTGCCATGGCTCTGATGTCCCATATGGACGATCCATTGGCGGCTGGGGGACAGGTTAGAACACGAGTTAGTGTTTAGTGGGGTTAGGCCCAGCTCAGAGCTCAAAATCTTGGAAAACCTGAGAAAAACCTGGCAAAAAAAAATCTGACAAAACCTGAGAAAAACCTGGTAAAAATCTTACAAAAACCTGACAAAAACCTGGCAAAAAACCTTACAAAACCTGAGAAAAAAACCTGGCAAAAAACCTTACAAAACCTGAGAAAAAAACCTGGCAAAAAACCTTACAAAAACCTGACAAAAACCTGGCAAAACCAGAAAAAATCTTACAAAACCTGGCAAAAAAATCTTACAAAAAGCTGATAAAAACCTGACAAAACCTGACAAAAACCTGATTAAAAAACTTCCAAAACCTGACAAAAACCTGACAAAAAGCTGATAAAAACCTGACAAAACCTGACAAAAACCTGATAAAAAAAACCTTACAAATCCTGACAAAAACCTGACAAAAACCTGACAAAAACCTCACAAAACCTGATAAAAACCTCACAAAATCTGACAAAACCTGACAAAAACCTGAAAAAAAACCTGATAAAATCCTGACAAAAATCCGACAAAAACCTCACAAAACCTCAAAACAACGTTAAAAAACTGTACAAAAACCTTACAAAACCTCATAGAAACAGATAAGCATCATAAAACCTCATAAAAACCTTTTTTAAAAGCTTACAAGCACGTTGCAAAAAAGACACAAAATCCTTACAAAAAGTCACAAAATCCTCACAAAAGCCTTAAAAAAGACTTTACAAACTTCATAAAACCTCATCAAAACTCATAAGTATCATTAAAACCTCATTAAAACATAAAAAAACCTTACAAACACCTTACAAAAACCTCACAAAATCCTTACAGAAACTTTACAAAAACCTCACAAAATCCCTACAAAAACCTCACAAAAATCTTACAAAATCCTCACAAAATCCCTACAAAAAACCTCACCAAAACCTCACAAAATCATTACAAAAACCTGGAGTGAACACTTCGGTCTCAGCCTAAGCACGAATTAACCTCAGCCTAAAGCTGGGTCGATTCTTTCCAAGATTCCCAAACATTTTTAGGGAATTTTTTTTGGCCGTATTTAAATCCTGGAATTCCTGGCTCATCCAGGAATTCTTCCAGGGCCACATCCCTGAGGTTGTGGGCCAATGTTGGAATCCTCGTCCCGGAATTCCTGCATGGATGAGCACGGATCCAGCGCCGGGAGTGGCAGGGAATTGTCACTTCGCTGTGGCCCCGCTGGGACAATGAGGTCACTCGTGTGTGAGGTTGAAGTTAAGGGATCTCGACGTGGCTTGGGAATGATTCCTGTTCCTACAGAAGCGGGAGCCAATCCCACGCTTTGGTGGGATTTTAAGGGACAGCACAGAAGTGACACCTTGGGGTTTTATTGGCATTTTTCCTCGAGGGGTTTCAACGTTTTGATGTCACAAAATCTGGGATCGACCGCCACAACCCCTTGGAAAAAGCCGATTTGGGGTTTTTTAGGGCACCTGGCGCTGTGGGGTGACCTGGAATCCCTTAAATCCCATCCTGGGCTGGGTGGGGACACCGGAGGTTCCTCGTTTCCTCCTTGTCCCTTTTCCCTGCTCTGTGCCTCACTCTTCATTCCCTGTTTCTAATTAGCGGCGTTTCTCCACGGGTTAATGACGGGTGCGGGGGTGATGTCGCTTCGTCACCAACCCTGGGGTGTCAGGTGGGGGCAGATCCCCCCTGCAGAAGCGTTTTGGTGGTTTTAAAGCATTTTAAACGGATTTTATGCAAAAATACAGAGAAATGGTTTTGATCTCAGTCATGGAATCGTCCCAGACTGGTTTGAGTGGGAAGGGATCCCAAACTCACCTCATTCACCCCAAATCCACATTTTCCACTCTCCCGGGCTGCTCCAAACCCCATCCACGTTTTTAAACCTGATTTCATTCCCTTTTTGCTCGATTTTTTTTTTGAACAGCCCTGATTATTTTTAACCGCAAACATTCCGTTATCCTGGTGTTTCAGAGCCAGATAAATCCTTCCAGATTTATCCCTCAGCCACATCCAGGAGGGAAGATTTCCCTGCCAGAGCAGAGTTTGATTCTCCCGATGGTCCAAGAAGTTTCTCCTGACCTGGGAAACGCCCGGCACAGGGATGGAGCTGGAACTCCCACCCTTCCTTCCCCGGCATTCCCGGGGGCTCCGGCAGCGCAGGGAGCAGCGGGATAAACCCAAGCACTCGGATAAATCCTGACAGGTCTCCTTGCGAACAGCTGAGGTGCTAAATCCGAGCTGACATCTCCCGCAGAACCCGTTTTTAACAGCTCTGAACACCAGAGAACACTTTGTTGGGGGAATTTTTGTGGAGTTTTCCAGCTTTTCCCAAACCTCGTCCGGCATCACCACACCCCCAGCAGGGCTGGGTGACACAGAACCCTCCAAATTCCCACTCGTACACCCAGATCTCCACCCCGGCAGCGCGGGATGGCTCCGATTTTTCCCGATATCCCAAAGAATCGAGGTGGGGAAGGGTTAGAGAGGGGTTAGAGGAAAAGGAAAGCTCAGTACCCAACTCGTGCCTGGTGGTGGCTGCCGGAGCCCTCTCGGCAGCGGCGCTGGTGCTGGCGGCGGTGCTGGCGGCGGTGCTGGTGGTGCTTGTGGTGCTTGTGGTGGTTGTGGTGGTTGTGGTGGTGGTTGTGGTGTCGGTGGTGGTTGGGGCTGTTGTAGGACTGGTTGTAGGACTGGTTGTAGGACTGGTTTCAGGAGTGGTTTCAGGAGTGGTTTCAGGAGTGGTTTCAGGACTGGTTTCCTCCACTGCGGTTGGAGGCGGCTCAATTGCCTCTGGGAGAGGGAAACACCGGCTTCGTACCTGAGGTGGCATCCTCTGGGCACTGCCCTCCCCACAGCGGCACGGCACGGAGCAAATCCCAATGGGAACACACGGCTGGACACATTTTCCTGCCCCTAGCCCCATGCAAGGGTGTCCTGAGCCCATCCATGAGCAAATCCCAATGGGAACACACGGCTGGACACCTTTTCCTGCCCCTGGCCCCATGCAAAGGTGTCCTGAGCCCGTCCCAGGGGCTGGAGCAAATCCCACTGAGAATTCCAGGCTGAGCCCTTTTTCCTACCCCTGTCCCCATGCAAAGGTGTCCTGAGCCCATCCCAGGAGAGCTGCGGCAGCAAATCCCACTGGGAACGCACGGCTGGATCCTTTTTCCTGTCCCTATCCCCATCCAGAAATGGCCTGGGCTGATCCCAGGGGCTGGAGCAAATCCCCCACCGGGAACATGAGGCTGGATCCCTTTTCCTGTCCCCCTGAGCCCATCCCAGAGGCTGGAGAGATTCTGGGGCTGCTCTGGTTCCCCCAGTTCGATCCCAAACCCAAACCTGAACTTGTCCTCTGCCTTTTCCCTGCCCGTCACCCTCTGGGATAAACCAGCACGGACAGCCTGGAAAAACGCGGCTGAGGGGAGGCACAGGTTTGTCCTCATCCCATTGTCCCAGAAAACGGGATTTAGCTCGAGGAAAAGGCACTAATCCCATTTGTCGGGCCAGCCTCAATTCCATTCATCCAGCTGCTCCTGGACTACACCTCCAGTATTTTTTTGAGCTGTCAGCTCAGCCTGAGGCTTCCCAGCTTTTTCCAGCCTGGAGAAGGAGCAGCTTCGACATCGAGGGGGATTTAACTGGGGGGGAGGGAGGGACGGAGCTTGGGCAGCGCTGCCCCTCCCGATTTCCATTTAAATGAGGCCTTGGAACACCTCGAGCAGTCCAGGGGGATAATTGGGAGCGGTTTGTTTGTTAATTGTCTCACTTGGGCTGTGATTCCAAGGAAAAACGGGAAAGCTCCAGGGAAAGGGGGAAATGTTTCCTTTAACCCGCCCTGAGTGGGGTGAGGGTCCCACGGGGAGGGAGGGGGGCTCTGGCTGGGCCTGGAACCTTCCAGCAGAAAACGCAGCCGGAATTCTGCTCCAAATACCAAAGGTGACTCCGAGGGGATTCACCCCGGGACGCTCAGGTTAAATCATATTTATCGTCATTTTTCCTGCGGGCCACGGGATTCCAAATCCCTCTGATGGGTGAAGGGAGCCAGATTTTATAAACATCTCCCCCAAACCACAACAGCTCAAGGGAAGCACTTTAAAACCAGTCCCAGGACCAAGCCAGGCTTTTCTTTCCCTCCCAGCCCATCCCCAAGCTCTGAAACTCAGCATCCAAAGGCAGAGAGAGCTCGCTGGGTCCAAGATACAAAATTAGAGTTAGAGCACAGCTGAAAGCACCGGCCCAGCTCAGGGGTGACCCCAGAGCACCCCCAGGTGCTCCAAAATTCCAGCCCGGCCCCAGGGGTGCCCCCAGAGCAGCCACAGTTCCCCCAAAACTCCAGGCCAGCCTCAGGGATGCCCCCAGAGCACCCCCGGGTCCTCAAAATGCTCCAGGAGCAGCTGCAGTTACCCAAAAAAATCCCAGCCCAGCCACGGAGAACAGCCACAGTCACCCCAAAAACCCCAGGCCACACCCAGAGGTGCCCCCAGAGCATCCCCAGCTCCTTAAAAGTGCCAGCCCAGCCATGGAGAGCAGCCACAGTCACCCCGAAATCCCCAGCCCAGCCATGGAGAGCAGCCACAGTCACCCCAAAATCCCCAGCCCAGCCCCAGGAGCAGCCACAGTCACCCCAAAATCCCCTCCCGGTCCTGACCCCATCCCCATCTCATGCACCCCGACCCGGAGCCCCCCGTGCACGGCCCGTCCCTGCCCCAGCCGGGGGAGGGGACAGGGAGGGGACACATCCAAAGGCTCGGCTTTGCCCTCGCGTGTTCGTGGTGAGCCAAAAAATAATTTTTTTAAAAAAAGGGATTTTCGCGTTTTGCCCTTCGGGGTTTGTTCCACAAGGACTTTGCGGGGTGCCGAGGCCGCTAAAAGCTTTTCCTGCTTCCCTGGGATTTGTCCCCATCCATCTCCGCCCACTCCTGGCGGGTTTGTGGGGTTAAGAGATTGGTGTCGCCGGGTTAATGTCCCCATTAACGGGATGGAGCCGCGCCGGAGGCTGGGGACAATCAGGGATCAGCTAATGCAGGCTCAGAATTCCCATGGGAATCCCGGCTCCCTTCGGAGGAAAACGAGACCTCCAAAGGCACAAAGTGACTTTGGGGAAGGCGGGAGCGGGCGGAAAACCTGGCACGGCTTTAATGCTCCTCCAGACTTCAGATGGGAAGGGATTATCCGGGATAAATCCCAGCCTCGCTATTCCCGGTGCGGGATCTCCTCTCTGAGCATCCCTCACGCACCCAAATCCTCCGGGATTCTGTCCCGGGATGAGCTGGCAGCGATTCCAGGCGGGATTTGCCCTCCCTGCCCCATTTCCCCGGCTCTGGGGGGAAGCGATCCCCGGGAGCGGAGCCGTCACTTCCCATCGGGATAACTCGGGCTGGCTCCCGAGCGAGAGGGGATGGGAGGGATGGAAGGGATGGAAATCATCCTGGCAGGAGCAGGGACGGGTGAAGAGTGGGATGGGGTGAGCTGGAAAACTCGGGGAGGCTGGGATTTGATCCTAAAGCGCCCCGGGATGCGAGGCCGTGGCCTCGTTTGGGTTTAAACGTGGAAAGGGATGAGGGAGGAGAGCTCTGCTGGGAGATTTGGGGTGGGGGAGATCGGGGGGGGATCACTGGGCCCTGAAATCCATCCCCTAATGAGGGCTGGGGGGATCTCAGGGATCCCGGGAATCGGGGGGATCTCAGGGAGCCGATATCCCCCAAAGGAAAGGGATCTCAGGAATCACGAGGATCAAGGGGAATCTCAGGGATCACAGGGATCTGATATCCCCAAAGAAAAGGGATCCCAGGAATCACGAGGATCAAGGGGGATCTCTGGAATCTCAGGAATCAGAGTGATCTCAGGGATCTGATATCCTCTAAAGAAAAGGGGTCTCAGGGATCAGAGGGATCTCAGGGATCCGATATCCCCCAAAGAAAAGGGATTTCAGGGTTCCCAGGGATCAGAGGGATCCCAGGGATCAAGGAGGACCTCAGGGATCCCGGGGATCTGATATCCCCAAAGAAAAGGGATCCCAGGAATCACGAGGATCAAGGGGGATCTCATGGTGCTGATATCCCCCCCAAAGAAAAGGGATCTCGGGGATCCCAGGGATCAAGGGGGATCTCAGGAATCTCATGGATCATTGGGAGCAAGAGGGGTTTTAGGGATCCCGGGGATCTGATATCCCCAAAAAAGGGATCACGAGGATCAAGGGGGATCTCAGGAATCCGATATCCCCCAAAGAAAAGGGATCTCAGCCATCCCAGAGTCCCTTCCCGGGACTTCTCACTGCCACCAGGAGTGACAAAGATCCCGAAGGGAGACAGGAGAGCCAGGCTGGCATTCCCAGACTTTTGGGAAGCCCCAAAATCCCATCCACCCTCCTGCAAACAAGCCACGGCATCCCCGAGCTTTGTGGAGGACCTGGAGTTGTTTTCCTGCATTCCCAGGGCTTGGATGGAAAGTTTGGCAACAAGGACGGAGCACCTGGAATTTGTGGGATGGGGGAGAAAATCCCCCTTTTCCCAAAGACCCCATCCCAGAGCGGGGCAGCATCTGGGAATTGCTCCAAGAAGGAAGAAATCACCTGGGAAATTCAGATTTATGAACCACCAGCAGCAATTCCCAGCTCTTGATCCCATTTTAGCCGAGCCCAACTTCCTGGAAAGAGCCAAACGAGCACTCAGCTCTTTAATTGCCTCCCTTTCAAGGCTTTTTTTCTGTCTCCAAGATCCATTATTCCCTCTCAGATGATGGATTGAGGATGCAGCAATTAATAATTTCACTAATGAGAGATGCTGAGCTCTTCGCTGCCTCCCCAGCCGGGAGCAGAGCAGTGAGAAAAGAATCCAAACCTTCCACAAAAACCTGTTTGAAGCTCGGATTAGGTGGAAAAATCCCAGAGAGGGAGAATCCTAAGGGGAAAATGGGATTTTTTTTTTTTTTAAAAGGGAAGTTCTAAGGAAAAGACACAAATCCTGCTCGGATAATTCAGTGAAAAGTGGCGCTTTTTTTTGGTTTTGTTTTTTTTTTCTAAATCCAGGAAACAATCCCAATCTCTGCCGCTTTTTAATTATTTAAAGGTGCTTTTAATGTGTTGTTGGGCTGTGGCAGCAGCTTTCCCTGGGGTGTGTCTACAAAATAATGAGGCTTGGAGAAATTGGGATGAATTTTTCATGATTTTTGATGATTGGGCCGAGGACATTGGCGGAGATTTATTTTTAATTCTCCCGGTTTTTACCAACAGAATGGAATTGGGAATTCTTGGCCGTGAAGAAGCTGAAAATCCGATGTGGAAAGAGAAGAAATTGGAGAAGAGAAGGGGGTGACGGAGCAGAAAGAGAAGGCTCAGCAATTCCTTCTGTTTCTAAAATGAAAAATGGGATTTTTCTCCTCAAATTCCCATTTATGCACAGGGAAAAGTCAGGATTTTTCCTCCGAGTCTAAACCTGATTTCTTTATGGCCCCCGATGAAGTTTTTTCCATAAGGATAGAAAATTAAAAATCCAGTTTGGGATTTTTTTTTTTTTTTCTCACTCATACCATAATAAAAGCCTATTTTTAATCTCTTCTTCCCAAATCTCCTCTCCTGTTGTCCAAAGCCCGGCTTAGGAAAGGTGAAGCTTTTCCTGAGGGAAAATCCCTGCACTTCACTTCGATTCCATCATTGCTCTGGTCCCTCCCAGCTTTTCCCTGGAAAAGGAACCTTTCTCCATTCCCTGCCAGCACCAGGAGAATTTTCCTGCAATTCAGGACAAATTCCATAAAAATCCAGCCGGTCTGGGTCATCCAGCAGAGATGGGAAAGGTCAGGGAGCATTTCCTGGGAATTGCTGGAAATATCCTCTGGAGGCTGAGGAGAAACGATGGATGGGAGAGGGAATTTTCCATGCCCTGAGTTCTCCCCTGGAGAACTGGGATGGGGAGGAAGATGAGGCAGAAATTCCCAACCTCCAGCTCCATTTCCCAACTCTCAGCCTTTTCCAAAGAGTTATTTGTCCTTTTGGAAAGGGGGAAAAGGGAGGGATGAGCTCTGGATAATCGGAGGATTATCCCTGAAATCACAAATAATTCCGGCGGGGCAGGAAATGAAGCTGGGAATGATTCGGTGCTGGGAGGATGAAGAGATCAGGGCGTGATTCCAGAGTTCAGCAAGACCCTCTGGAAGCAGAAAAGGACTTGAGGTGATCCTGACCCACAAAGAAAATCTGGATTCTGGTGGATGAGCCAAACCCTGGGTGGAGAAGGAGCTGCAGGAGAGAGTGGTCCCGATCCCAAGCTTTTTTAATGTGCGTTTTCAGGGATTTTTTTGTTAATTTCCAGGATTTTTTGGGGGTTGATTTTCAGGATTTTTATGTGCATTTCTAGGATTTTAAACTGCATTTTCAGGTTCCCGTCACCTAAACCTGACCAATCTCTTATTCTTAATTTTTTTTTTTTTTAAGGTGAAGGAAAAGAAAAAGACAGGAAGAAGAAAGATTGGCATCTGTTCGGGAAAGGGGGAGGAAAAAGCAAAATAATATCGGGAAGAGACATCGCTGCAACAAAATCCAAGGAAAAGGAACATCCACGAGGCAGGAAAGCGAATCCTGCACTTGGATCCCTCGGGAAAACTTTCCCTGGGAAGTTGTTCCTGCTTGGAATTGCAGAGGCGAAGCAGGACCTGTTGAGAGCCCTCGGTGTGGGGAATTAGGAGCTGTTGCTGCTCCTAAAATTTTTTTTTTTTTTTTTGGATGAGTTCAGGGTTAGCTGCACCCCTGGCTCGGTCGTTCCTGCACCAAATTTCACCTCGGTTTTTCCTTGCTCGTCCCTCCTGATTTAAACTCCGCATCTGCAGGAGCCTGGCGAGCAAAATGTGGGAAATGCGTGTGGGGTGCGTGGAAATCAGAATTTTCCAAATCTGTGAGAGGTGGGAATCCTTCCCTGAGTGACCTGGAATTGTGTGGGATAACGGGAATTTCTCCATGGGAGCGGCAGGAGGAGGAGCTGTCCCTGGTGCTGCAAAAAAAAAATGAATAAATCCCCTCCCTGCTCCCACTTTTTGGGAATTGCGAGGAGGGCAAAGCCAGCAGAAGGCTCCATGCAGAACATGCACAGCTCAAATTCCCGCTCAACCCTTCCAATGGACACCGGGAATGCCAGGAATCTCCTGGATCAAAGCCCTGGGAGAGCTACTGGGAATCCCCCCCTACCCAAAAAAAAAAAAATCCCAAATCTCCAGGTGTGACCCCACAGGTGCCGGAGGGGATCCCGCGGAGCCAGAAATGTTCTGTGGTTTGTGGGGTTGGGGATGGAGAGGGTTAAAAAGGGAGAGGGGTTTGTGCAGAGCTGGGGTTAAAAATCCTCCCTGAGAGAGGGAAAAGCTCTTTTATAGGGAAAAATATTTAATAGGGGAAAAAGCCTCTTAAATAGGGGAAAAAAACCTTTTTTAATAAGGAAAATTTCCTCTTTAGTAGGGGGGAGCACCTCTTTATTATGGAAAACTTTTCTTTCATATGGGGAAAAAACCCCTCAGAAACAGGGGGGAAAGTTTTCTTTAATAGGGGAAAACCCCTCTTTCATATGGGAAAATATCCCCTCTAAAATAGGGGAAACAATCCTCATTAAGAGGGGGAAAATCCTATTTAATAGGGAAAAAAACTTCTCTATAATAGGGGAAACCCCTCTTTAATATTGGAATAAATCCCTTTAATAGGCAAGAAAATAAAGCTCTTTAATAGAGGAAAACGCCCCTGCTAAAATAGGGGGGAAATTCTCTTTAATGGGGAAAAAATGTCTATAACAGGGGAAAAAAACCCCACTTTAATAGGGAAAAACCTCTCTTTAATAGAAAAAAAAAAACACTTTAATAGGAAAAAACCCTCTCTTTAACAGGGAAAAAAAACCCACTTTAATAAGAGAAAACCCACTTTAATAGGGAAAAATCCCGACTTCAATAGGGAAAAAAAAATCACTTTAATAGAGGAAAACCCCTATTTAATAGGGAAAAATCTCCAGTTTAATAGAGGAAAAATCCCCAGTTTAATAGAGGAAAAATCTCCAGTTTAATAGAGGAAAAATCCCCAATTTAATAGGGAAAAATCCCCATTTTAATGGGAACTCGACTCTCCCTAGGGCTCGCCCAGCCCACGGCCACCGTGCTTTGGTTTTCACGACATTTTTGAGTGGCTTTTAAGCCTGGCTTAGAGACCTTTTAATCTTTGCCTGCCCCCGCTGCGGAGCCGCCCCGGTTCCTTTTGTGCCTGGAACGATTGAAATGCCCGATCGGCGTGGCCATTGGAAGGGTTTTAATGAACTTTTCGGCTTAATTGGCAGCTTAATTGGCAAGCTCCGTTGCCCCCATGCCGGTTACCTCCGGGTACGGTACCTGGGCTTGGCGTGGCTTCGGAGGCAGCGCCAGGGAAAGAGAGAGAGAGGGAAAAACGGGAAAGAGGGGAGAGAAAAACACAGGAATTTATCAAACAACCCCAACGCGCCGCCAGGACACGCGGAGGCATCGGAGAGTGGAGAGAGGGAGAGAGAGAGAGAGGGGAAAGAGGGATTAAATCCAACCTGGGATGGACCTGGAGTTCAGGAATCGGGGATAAATCAGGAGTCGGGGATTAACCAGGAATCGGGGATAAATCAGGAATCTGGGATAAATCAGGAGTCGGGGATAAATCAGGAGTCGGGGATAAATCAGGAGTCGGGGATAAATTAAGAATCCAGGATAAACCAAGAATCCAGGATAAACCAGGAATATGGGATAAACCAGGGATAAACCAAGTCAGGGAATCTGGGATAAATCAGGAATCCGGGATAAATCAGGAATTCGGGATAAATCTGGGACAAACCAGGAGTCAGGGATAAACCAAGGCAGGGAATCTGGGATAAACCAGGAACCTAGGATAAATCACGAACCCAGGATAAATCATGAATCCGGGATAAACCAGGAATCCGGGATAAACCAAGGCAGGGAATTTGGGATAAACCAGAAATCAGGCATAAGCCAGGAACCTAGGATCAATCACGGATAAACCAGAGTCAGGGATAAACCAAGCCAAGGAATTCAGAATAAACCAGGAATCTGGGATAAACCAGGGACAAACCAGGAATCAGGGATAAACCAAGGCAGGGAATTTAGAATAAACCAGAAATCTGGGATAAATCAGGAATCCGGGATAAATCAGGGACAAACCAGGAATCAGGGATAAACCAAGGCAGGGAATTTGGGATAAACCAGGAATCCAGAATAAACCAGGAATCTGGGATAAACCACACCAGGATCCAGGTTAAACACCCAGGCGGGGCCAGAGGTGGCACTGAGGTGACATCGAGGTGACATCGCGGTGACATTGGTGTCGTTAAGCCGAGTACTTCAGTGGGTGTTTAGGTCTAATCCCAACAAAAACCGGTTTTGGCAGCGATTTTCACCTCAGCTTTTCCTTGCTCGTCCCACCTGATTTAAACCCCGCATGTGGAGGAGCGCGTTAATGAGTTTAATTTCCTTAATTTCCTTCATCTGCTTGTTTTCCTGAAATCCCAACCTCGTCTTTCCTTCAGCTTGGCAGGAATTCCCATCAAAGTGAGCAAAACTCGCCTGTTTCCTGTTGGACCTCGTGTTTGGAGGGCAAATTTCTGTGATTTGGGAGTAAATGATGTAAATTTTATGATTTTTTTTTTTTTTTTGAGTTTTGGCAGCCACATTTTGTCTGTTTGGTGCCACATCCTCACCCCAAATTCCACAGCTGAGGTTCCTTATCTTGTCCAGCAGGTTTGGGCACCACTGGATATTTCCAGTCCGTGAAACTGATCCAAAAAAAATTTAAATTTATACTCCACGACTGTTATCTCGCTATTGTCAGTGTCCAAAATTTGGGTGTGAACCAGATAAAAATATTCAATTTTCAGCTTCAATCCAACCCCTGAGCTCTCACAATTTCTTTTAAAGCAATCCCAGCGTTTTCCTCGTTTGTTTTCTTCCCCCTAACCGATAAATGTAGCTGGATCCCACCCCAGGGGGGTCGGGAATGATTTTATTCCCACTGGATCTGGGCAGGAATCGTTTTCCCCACTCAGAGCCATTAGTGGGATGGGGGATGGAGAGAAGAAGAGAAAACCCCATTAAATCCCAGCTCTAACCCAATCCCAGCTCTGTGAGCCGAGCTTAAAGAGAGGAGAGAGTTCCCTCAGGGCTCCAGAACTTCCACTTAAATTTGATGGATGTTCCACAACGGGAATTTTATCTGATTATGGGGCCGAGATCGGGGCTCTGGAGGCTTTTAGGGTCGGGTGACACCTGTGGGGTGACAGGGAGGTAGCTCTGGGAATTTTATCTGATTATGGGGCCGAGATCGGGGCTCTGGAGGCTTTTAGGGTCGGGTGACACCTGTGGGGTGACAGGGAGGTGGCACCGAGGTCCCTGCACACAAAAATCCCCCAAATCTGCCCCTGTTGAGCTCACAAAGAAACTCAGAGGGGCAAATCAGAGCTTCACCCTCAGCACAAGGAGAGCGAGATCCCAAAATCACGGATTGGTTCAGGTTGGAAAGGACCTTAAATCTCATCCAGTGCCACCCAGGGACACTTCCACCATCCCAGGGGGCTCCAAGCTGACCTTGGACATTTCCAGGGACACAGGAGCATCCACAACCTCTCCCTGCCAGCTTTTCCAAACCCTCCGAGCAAGGAATTCCTTCCCGAATCCCATCTCGCCCTGCCCTCTTTTGGTATAAAACACAAATTCAGCGAATATCCTCCTGCTCCAGGGCACACCAGGAATGTCCCTCCCTTGGGGACACCCAGGAGGTGTCCTGGAGCACGGGACTGTCCCCAGGTCACCTCAGCTCAGTTTTTATTGTGGCCTTTGGCCACCTCCACCTGGGCAGGAAAACCTCGGTGGCCATCGCTGCCCCTCACTCCTGGTGTTTTGGATTCCCTAATTCCATTTTTTTGGGGGCTGTTCCATGGCCTGCCACGATGCCATTTTTGGGGTTTGACACATCTTGCCACAATGCCATTTTTTGGGGTTGCCACATCCTTTCATGATGTCATTTTTGGGGTTTGACACACCCTGCCACGATGCCATTTTTGGGGTTTGTCACACTCTTCCACAGTGCCATTTTTTGGCTGTTCCATGGCCTGCCATGATGCCATTTTTTGAGTTTGTCACACCTTGCCACAATGTCATTTTTTTGGGGTTTGACACACCTGGCCACGACGCCATTTTTGGGGTTTGTCACACTCTTCCACGATGCCATTTTTGGGGTTTGTCACACCCTGCCACGATGCCATTTTTGGGGTTTGTCACACTCTTCCACGATGCCATTTTTGGGGTTTGTCACACTATTCCACAGGGCAATTTTTTGAGTTTGTCACACCCGGCCACAACGCCATTTTTGGGGTTTATCACACCCTGCCACGATGCCATTTTTGGGGTTTGTCACACCCTTCCACAATGCCATTTTTGGGGTTTGTCACACCCTGCCACGATGCCATTTTTGGGGTTTGTCACACGCTGTCCCCCCATGCCCTCGGCAGAGCCGGGTGCTGTCCTTACCTTCATCCAGCAGCGCCGGCGACTCCTCCACCAGGGCCTCGCCCTCTCCCACCTGGGTGCGGGCGCGGAGCACGAAGCGATAGCGGGAGATGGGGTCTGACCTCTGCAGGGTGAACCTCGTCTGGTTCGGGGACAGGTTCTCCACCACTGTCCGGCCCGTCCGGGACCCGTTAACTGCAGAGGGAACCAGGGCAGGCTGAGCTCAGCCTGGGACGGCAATTCCTGCGGTGTCCTGCTCATCCCTCAGCCCCTGGAGGGTCTGCGGGGTCATTGTGGGGTCGTTGTGGGGCTCAGAGCTGCTCTTGAACATGGCTGGGCTTGGTGACACTCCACCCTGGGGGTGCCCTTCAGGTGCTCTCGACTGCCCCAGGCTCTGAGGTATCAATTCCTAAATCTTGTGTTTGGATGATCACAAAAACGACTTTGGCTGCGCCTAAACTAAAATCTTCCTAAATCCAAGATCCAGCTGATTTCCCCTCAAATATGGAGTCTGGGGAGCTGCTGAGCCTTGATCAGGTGCAGATGTCTGCATCGTGTCCCCTCCCCTCGGAGAGGCTCTGTGGGGTCACTGTGGGGCTCAGAGCTGTTAAATAAACCCAGCTTAAATGAACCTGGGGACAGCCTGGCTGGGACCTTCAGGTGGACAAAGACAGCTCAGGGACCTCCAGGCTCACCTCATCCAACTCGCGTGGGGCGAGCACAAAAATGCCTCAGGCTGCACCTAAAATCTTCCTAAATCTGAGACAAAACCAATTTCCTTCCAAAAATTCAGTCTGGGGAGCTGCTGAGCACCCACCACCCCCCGCCCTGCAGATGGCCGGGACCCCTCCCAACACCCGTTTGTCCCCCCATGGAATTCTCCAGCTCCTCACGGATCTCCCCGCCCTGGCAGAAAGCAGGAAAGGAAAGAATTTCCTGATTGATCCCCGGGAAGAAGAGGCGGGACGTACAGGGCTGGTATCGGAGCGTGTATCCCGTGATGATCCCGTTGGGATGCTCGGGGTGGTCCCACTCCAGGTTGATGATTTCCAGGTTGGGCTGTCGGATCCGCAGGTACCTGGGGGAGCTGGGCACTTGGAGAGGAGCGGGGAGAGAGGAGAAAACACACACGGGGTAACGAACCCGGGCCACGCCCTGCAGACTCCGAAATTCCCGCACGGACACGCCCTGAACGGATCACACAAGGATTTATCCCAAAAACCCTGAGCCAGGTGAGCAGGGAGGAAAAGAGGAGCAGCTCTGGTGAGATCCAAATCCTGTGGGATCCTCCGGCAAGGCCGTGGAAGCAGAGCTGGAATGCAGCTCCAGCCCCGCTTCTCCTGTTGGATCCAAATTTCCTGACCTTCCTTATACCCCCCTCCCACATCCCAAGGTTTTCATCCCTAAGATTTCTCCCTTAAAAGCGCAAAAAATATCCCAAAAACGTCTCTTAACTCCAGCCCTACTTCTCCTCTTGGACCCAAATTTCCCGACCTTCCTTACATCCCTCTCCCATCCCAAGGTTTTAATCCCAAAGATTTCTCCTTTAGAAGCACAAAAGTTTCAAAAAACCTTTTCTTAACTCCAGCCTTACTTCTCATCCTGGACCCAAATTTCCCGACCTTTCTTACACACCCCTCCCATCCCAAGGTTTTCAACCCAAAAATTTCTCCCTTAGAAGCACAAATTATCCAAAAAATTTCTCTTAACTCCAGCCCTACTTCTCCTCTTGGACTCAAATTTCCCAACCTTTCTTATACTCCCCACTCATCCCAAAAATTTCTCTCAGAAGCGTAAAAAGCGTCTCAATAGCTTTTCTAACTCCAGTTCCACTTCTCTTGGACCCAAATTTCCCAAACTTCTTTACACCCCCCACTCATCCCGAAGTTTTCATCCCAAAGATTCCTCCCTTAGAACCCCCAGAAGGGGCTTCTCTTATCCCCCCAAAAATCACTGGGAAACGGAATTCCAGAGATCTCCCCCAGGGAGCTGCTGCCTGCTGCTCTCACCCTAAGGAATATTTGGGATTATTGCTGCTTTAACTGCTGAAGGAAGGAAAGAATTATCCAGCCAGGAGTTAAATTATTCTCCTGATTTCCTCCTAATTGCGGTGTCTTAATTGGGGGAAGAGAGATGGGAGAGCTCAGAGATTTATTTTTAGTTGTTCACGGTACCCTTCAGCCTCCTCAATGTCAGTTTGAGTCGATAAAAGGGCTTGGTGGTGTAGGAAAAATTAAAATCTGCATTTTCCCCTTGAAAAGAATAAAATCCACTGTAATTATTAATTTACACCACCCACACGTCCTTATCATCACCCCAAATGTCCCAAGCCACCCCAAATCCCGCAGAATTAGGGTCACAATGCCCCTGCCTACAAAACCTACAGGAATCGAACCCTTTCTTCTGAAACAACCTCGATTATCCACAGAAAATCCTTTAAAAATTGGGATTTTCCCAAGGAATTGGGAAGGAAGAAGCAGCGCTGGGAGACACCGGGGTGGGATGGGAAGAGAAAAGGGGAGACCCCAAAATATTTTGAGGCAAGACTTGCAAATCTTTTCTTGCGTTTTTGTGACCTTCTGTGCCCGAATTCCCTGCTGTGCCGTAGGAAAAGTCACTTCCAGCCGTTGGAATTGCGGCTCCAACTCGGAATTATCGGCGTGTCTATAAATAGCTCCTGTGCCAGTGACAAAATTAAACCTTGGAGTTCATCCTTGACACAAGAACGAGGTGCTCTTGCCTTAAAAGCCTGGCAAGGGGAATCAGTGATTCCTGAAGGTCCTGGGAAGGTTTTCCAGCTTTTTCCAGGCTGGATCCAATCACTGCCACGTCCCCAAAACGCGGCTCGGGGACATTCACAGCTCAGGCAGCAAACCAAGGGCACAGAGCTGTGCCTAGGCAAGGCTTTTACAAATATTTCTCACGCTCAGCCTAAAATCTTCTCTGCTGGAGTGTCCAGAGCACCTGACAAGGATTTTTGGGAATGCTGAAAGGCTCAGGAGCCAACTCCAGCGACATCACCGCCAGCGCCGGGTGAGGCTCAGCTAAAACCACTCCTCAGCTCCCTGGGTCTGCCCCACCCAGACCACTCCCAGCGGGAAAAAATTCCCAGTGCGTGGAGGGAGCAGAAACCATTTGTGAAGCAGAGACCCTCTCCAAGTCCCTGGAAGGGGCCCCACAGAAGATGACACCTTAAAAATAAGAATTTTTTTGCTTAGAGTGACCAATACCAAGAAGCGTCTCTCCTCCCCGGTAGACTCCTGTGTTATCTTTCTGTAATATCAGTGATTCATTTTCCTCTCAGATGGTTGGTTCCCTTTTTCCCCTGAAGCCCTTTGCAGATTGGTTAGTTATCAAATTCCTTTGGTAATTGTGGGCACACGTATTGAGAAAGTAAGAAAATTACAGCCTGAGAAATATTCCAGGCTGGAGCTTCTCAGCTCTGTTCCCAGCCCATGAGCTGGTCCAGCTCAAGGCTGGGGAGAATTTCTGCCAGGGTGATAATTTGGTCAAAATAAAAAGGAATTAATAAATTAATAAACAGAACCCCTGTTGTGGTGTGTGCCCAGGCCCTGGCCATGGGGTGTCTTCTCTCTGAACCAATCTCCTTTTCTCTGCTCTGGGAGTTGCAGTCCTGCTATAAAACCAAGTGTGTTTCTCAATAAACTTGGCTCTCTCTTTCCTATCACGAAAGAAGACCACGTGGCTGGGTGTTTTTATTTCTAAAGGGTTAAAACCCCTTTCCACGGCTACAGGTAATTGGTGCAAAATGTAAAACCCTTAAAAGACCCCTTAGAAACCCCACCCAGTTGGATTTGCTGCACTGGAGTCCCCTTTGTAGAAGGAATAAACCCTGTGGAACCCTCCTGTGTGCACTTCTCCATCTCTGCTGGCTCGAGAGCTGCTTTGTGAGCCTGAATTTCACCCGGGCAAGGCTGAC